TGTTGAAGACACACAAAAATCAAAGACATCTAATAATGAACAATAGATACAAAATTCTTTTTTCCAAATGTTATCCGTTTATAGGAACAATTGTTACTGTTTACACTTTATATTTTTGTTTTTTTGTTATTTCATAGTTATCATTCCAGTTGTGACTGTGAAGTCAACAAAAACGTATGATTAAACAAGAATAGCATTAATAAATTTTTTCATTTAGAAATTTAGTAATCTAATTGAATTATTAGCAAACATACGTTCATAAACATATAACATTAATATTTCAACGATATTTGATACAAAAAATTTAAAAAACAAAATTCTTTTCGAAAAGTATATATTTTGGAATGAATTCTGTAGCCTTGAGAAGACGGGCGAGAGAGGACCTGCCAAGTGAGAGTGCGCGAAAATCTTGATACAGTTAATAAATACTAATAAACTCCCATTAAATAAATAAATCTTCTAGAAGAAATAAATTCCAGAAAAATAAGTCCCGGCCGTCTCTCATATATGTATATAATTCCCAATTGTAAGATAAAGCCATACATTGTTGATCAAATAAATCAATCTTTAGATAACAGAAAAAAAACAATAAATCAATCTCTAAATAACAAAAATATCAGATATGAATTCGATTGAATGAAAGACAAAACATTATTTAATGGTATAGAGAGGTGCAGAATCTTCCCAAAAACCAAAAATTTCCCAGAAATTTCAAAAAAGTTCCTCCTCGCGAGGGGACGCACGAGGAAGATTCTGCACCTCTGATGGCATAGAAGCTCAAACGCCAATTGATGAAGTAAAAGGATGGAGTCGATACTATTCTAACACAGATCAAGATTGTATTAAAGTTTATTATCGCTGCAATTAAGTTAAGTTTTATAAGCGTGAGTATTGCGTTAACTTACTCACACTAACCCATCCTTAATATGGTTTCCATTAACTTCGAAGAATAATAGTTTCTTACTTAGCATTCAGTAAAAAATACTTGACATTTAAGTCAGAGCCAATGTCAATTATAAACATTTTCTAGAAGATATTATTCTGTATATTAATTCAAAAAGCTTTGATTTAAAAAACAGAAGAAAATTAGATGAGCTCTTCTGTAATAGACTAGTTATTTCTAGGTAAAATTTAATTTTATTAGCTTCTAACGTATATATTCGTGTGTTATGTGAACAACGAATGAAAGAATAATCAAAATGAAAAAGAAATTAGTCATTTGTAATGATTAAATATTACAAATACTTTTATTATTGTAATATACTTAAATGCTATCACATCATCTTTAACTTTAATAAATCAATAGAAAAAAACCTTAGTCATTAGATAAAAATGAGTAAACATTTATTTATAGTTACTATATGACTAATATATGACACCATGCGCTCGATAAAAAAGAATAACACATTTTTTAAGTCAACAAGGTGAGAAAAGAAAAAAGTTTGCAGATTACATTTGATTATGCAAGATACATATTTATTATAAAACTCGTACTGTTTGTCATATTTTCTTTGTCTTAGATAAATAATAACATAACATGAATGAAAATGCACCATTGTTAGGTGGTCCTGCGCCTTTATATCCTCCACTAGGATCTTCAAATGATACAAATTCACCTATACCACCATCATCGTCACCAAAAGATAATACACTTCCTCCTCCTAATCAATATCCACAAATCGAATTTAATACTAGTTGGTCTCAATGGAAAGATCGTGGTTTTGCTATTGCATTTTGGATTCATTTTCTTGTTGTAGCTATATTTGGTTTTACCTTAGGAATACCAGCTATTCATGCAGATGCACAAAAACCTTTTGATGATCCAACACGAACAACATTTGATTATAATGCAGATTTATTTATACGTGTTTTTGTTGGTGGTGCTGCTTTAAGTGGAACAATTGCATTTATATCATTCTTTGTTTTACAACGATGTGCTGGTCGAATTATAAAATGTTCACTTTATATGGGTGTTGCAATACAAATCTTACTTTGTATAGTTTTATTTACAGTTGCTTGGCCTATGGGTATTATAACACTTATTATTGTTTGTATTTCAATTTGGTATATTTATGCTGTTCGAAATCGTATTGCATTTGCTGAAGCTCATATACAAGTTGGTTGTGCTGC